ACCAACAACTTCGGAAGCGTTCTCAGATGAAGCATCGCTAGAAGTAATGTTACATTTTACGTAATTTCTTCTAGACATAAACGAAGATTTTTGTTTAGAAGACTCTTTGGGTGTGTGAAATCTTGAATTGATTCATAATGAGCTTATGGCTAGACTCTCCTCTTCTACTTTGAGATTGCATTTGTGTTGAAGAGAATGTTGTGAGATCACTAACAACTTTCTTGGCACTATATATAATAAGTTGACAAGGACTTTGTAGAAAAGCATAAGTTGTTTCAAATAAGCAATCCCAAACACCCCCTAATACTACTGGGATGACTTAATGGAAACAAAAACTTCATTGAATCAGGAACATAGTTAGCAGCAAATATATATGTTACAGAGGGGGCTCTCCAAATAAAAGGAAAAGAGTAAAGAAATTCAAATGTCTTCCATAAGTATAGGATTGGATTTTTAATAAGAGATGGAAAGTTCATCCTTTTCTATGGAATAAAGATGATCACTCTTGTAAGTGGTAACCACCGATACCGATTAGTTCCTGTTCCAGAACACAGCGAGATGAAAAAGAGCAACCCTCTCGGCTAATCGTGCTTCCAGAATTTGTCATCAAGAAAAACTTAGCCACTACGAAGCACTGTATGGAATTCCAAGACACGTGTTCATATATTTTTCTACTTTTGGTAAAACTTCTAAAATGGAAGGTTGGTCCAAACTTACATGTCAAATACATACAAGAATCTACTATTTGATCTTATGCCATGTTGCTGGTAAATAGCTTATGATTTCTAGAATAAATTGAATTAAATGGTTGTGGGACAATTCATACTATCAATTCAAGTTCATTATGTTCATATTATTACTGAGGAGAAATAATATCAAACAGCAAAATCTAACATCAAACAGATTCTCTTTTTGCTTGTTTTATGAAACCTTTAACCAAACAATGCACTAATATGTTCAGAGGACTCAACCTTAAATAGGAGAATTAGGGGGATGATAGGCATTTATGGTCTGTTTAACTCATTATAGTTTATAATGGTTTATGTTGAATTGGAAAGAAGATGAAGATGAAGATGGTTTTGTGGCCTTAAACCACCAAATCACACTATGGCTCTGCTTTCTCCTGCCTTATGGCACCACCATGAACAAAGATGATGTATAGATATTGATCCAGACTTGTCCAATCCCAAAAACAACCAAATATTTGAAAATTGTATTACCGACCTGATTCAATATTTGACTCTCCACCGGAATCGGAAAATGGGCGGAGCCTCAATCTGCAACTACGAGAATCGGACAACGTTCATCCACTACGAGAATCACAAAATAAAGGTAGATCAGAAATTTCACAGATGCAGATTAACTTGACAAATTTAACAACCATAAATTTCAAATCTAGTTCATGGAACAGTTTCAAAGAGCCCTGATTGAAGTGTAAAGCGTCCACAGATATGCAGTCTGTAAACTACGAAAGTGAAGCTCGAAACACGATCATACACATCTGACTCATACAAACAGATTCAACAGACGTTTAGAAGTCGAAGTTTTAAATGATACCTCCTCAAAATACGCCCATGGATGCGGCACTTGTCTTTCATCCAGTTGGAACCCTAGTTCAACATAAAGAGACAATAATCAGCTGAAAACAAACAAAACAACTCGGCTAAGACAGTGTGAAAGCGTACGTCGATGCTTACATTGCCGGCCATTGATGAATTTACCCTGGAGAAGAGGGTTTTGGGGGAGACGATGATAACAATTTTTGGGGAAAAAAAAATTTGGACCATTTCTCGATTTGTGCGTGTCATCCTTGCGCAGGGGCCATGCTAATCTTCTCTGTATCGTTCCAATTTTATCGGATGTCCCCGAAGGGACGATTATAGGTGGTTTGCTTCGGTATATAAAGCAACCAGAAGTTGGACTTCTGGTCGATGTGGGAGGAGCTAACTTCAAGCGCAACAAAATCCACTGTTCTGATTTTATCTTTTCAGCAATCAAATTAGACGTCTCAAAAAAATACATTTTAATTTTAATTAAACCAACAAATTATTAACCTACTGGTTCTTTTTTTATTAGAGAAGGGGTCTTTTACCCGGTTGTTTACTCAGTAAACGTTTATCGATAAGAGTCAACACTATTATTTATTTTGATGTGTAAGATTTTAGTATATTAAAACATATCGAATGCAACAATTTAGTGGGTAATAGTCGTCATCCTCACTTACCGGGTAAGATTCTCCATCATTCTCATCGCTCTTACCCAATAAAATTATTGACTCTTCTCATGTCCATCCGATGAATAAATTTATCCGATAAATACTTACAAAATAAGTTTTAGTAAACGACTCCTAAATAAATTATCATGTTTTATGCTTTAAATAATCTATTTTATAATTAAATAAAAAGAATACTGCTTTCTCTCCAAATGAATGTATGAAAATAAGTTTTAAAATATTGATTGTAAAAACTTATGTGGAATAAAATATTAACGTTTGCTTTATCATATTACACAATATTATAGATTGTTTAACAGTTGTTGAATAGTTTAGTCTAAAATAATTAAATGGTCAAAATAATTAAGAGAGTCTTATGATTTAGTGTCAAGTGAAATATAATTGTTTGGTAAATATTTACAATGAAATTAAGACGCTGAATGGTTAAGGGAGACTCAAGATACAAAATATTTTAGAGAGTTTTATAATCATTAATAGACAAACATTTTTTTACCAAACAAGATTTATCTTTTAAGTTCTAAATATTATTATTTTTTTAATGAAACTATAAAGAGGTAAATGTATTAGAAACAAACGTAAAAATTGATTTGAAGCAACAAAAAAAAAACTCAAATTCAAATCTCCAACTATAAAGTAAAAACACATGAGTAGTATGTTTGTAGCATGACTTGAGATCATATGAGATAATATATGTTTTCGCGAGACACGATTTTTACACTTGAAACTTCACAGCAAAACATTAAGAAAGTCTTCATTTCAAGGGTAAAAATCGTGTCTCACGAAAACAGTCTTGTTTCACGTGAACTTAACCCTTTGTAACATAATAAAATATTTTAATAATTAAATTGAATAAATTCAAATTTAAACAATATTTTGTTACTAATCTTGATTTGACTTTAAATAAAAGACAACGTTTAAGATTTTAAAGGTAAACTACAATTCTCGTTCTATACTACAGCACCGACACCCGAAGTCGAGCATACATACGACGATCTTCAATGGTTTTATGGGTTTTCTGGTTTTCATTCCTACAATTTTAACATATTGAAATGATACTTGAAGTAATGTCTCCATAAGGGTCCATTTACCAAACACTTATCTGGGTAAGTGCTTACCAAGTCACATTACCGTACCGAATCAATGTGGCAAGTACCAAAAATCTTATCCGGTAAGAGCGAAGTCAATAACCGAGAGTCTTACCCGATAAGTGACAACGATGACTCTTACCACAGTTAGCACTTACCAGGTTAATTGTTGCATACGATACCGTTTTGATAAACTAAAATGTTACTCGGTAAGTAATTGATAGTGTTGAATTTTGCCGCTAAACACTTACATAGGTAAGCGTTGGTAAACAGTCCCTAAGTTTCGTAAACAAAGTAAACGATTTGATGGGAAAATTTTCATTATAGCAACAAAATTATAGGACTGTCATTTGTTTTTTTTTTTCCAGATATCTTATTCGCTAATTTATGTAAGCCAAACAAATCAAATTTGCAACTTTTAATTTTAAGAGTAAATTTTGATTTTTGTCTTCATGGGTTGTTATTAATTGCAAATTTATTTTTTTGGTTTTAGAAATTACGGTTTTCGTTCAAATGATTTGTAACTTATAGTTATTTTCGTTATTATGATTTATAATTCACTGTTGTTTTGGTCCATATGATTTATAATTCATTACTGTTTTGATCCCTTGTATTTAAAGGTAGAAACCAGTTTAAGAATAAAAATAGCAATAAATTGCAAATCATAGAAAAAAAAATTCAATTTATAAGTCACAAAAATGAAAACTGAAGTCAAAGACCTTCCAGCCTAGTGGTAAAAGCTTGGGCATGACATAGTCATGAACCCAAGTTCGAGCCCTGGGAGGGAAGTGTTGGCGACATTTAAGTGGGGCCATGTTTAGCCTCCAAATTTGCCGAGGATTAGTCGGGCTTTGGCCCGGACACCCTTACAAAAAAAAAAAAAATGAAAACTAAAATTATTAACAAACCACAATACGAAAATGAACGTGTTTCTCAGCAATTTAATGAGTTTAACGAGACTTGCTACTTATTTGGTTAACTATGTATGAGTGTTTGAAAGTGGCTTAATGGTATAAAAATTGACTTATTTAATAAGTTCTTAGGGGAAGTTTTATGTAAAAAACAAGTTTTTTCCAAACATGACTCTCCCAAATAGAAAAACGTTTATTCCATATATGAAAAAACCATCATAAGCAAAAAACTTCTCAATCAATACAGACAGATTAATTTATACAAACAATTTTTATCCATACAAGACAAATTAATTTATACAAACAATTTTTATCCATACAGACGGATTAATTTATACAAGGGGTTATTTGTTTACCTTTTAATAGTTTAATTAAAAGACAACTTTGAAACATTAAAAGATGAATCTTGTTTGATAAAAAAAATATGCCTCTTAATGATTCTAAAACCCTCTTAATGATTTTATATCAAGGGTTTCCCTTAACCATTCAGCACCATAATTTTATTATAAACAACTACCAAACAATTGTATTTCATTTTATATTATATCATAAAATACGCTTAATTATTTTACACCAAACCATTCAAACCAAACCCTAAACTAGACCCTAGTACCTAAACCAAATGATTGAAAAACTAAAGCTTTCACCACACACAACCCCTCACTGGATGTCTGGATGAGAGCGACCGGTAAGGGGTAGATTTTGTAATTTCACATTACACAACCATTTGTCTATAAATACTTCTTTAGCCGTTAACAAGCACTGCCTCTGGTCTTCCTCTCCCCCGTAACCCTAGGTTTTTCTCTGAACTCTCTCTCAGGTATCTCCCCCTCTGTCTCTCCTCTTCAATTCGGCGTCTGTTTGATTCGTCTCGACGCGTTTCATCTGCAAGAGAGGAGTTCGCTCGATCTCTTTGTTTGAAGAAGGTATGGATAAACCCTAAATCGCAGATTTCTCTCGCTTTATTTGAATAGGGGTTGATGAATTGGTATTAATTAATGATAATCAGCTAGTATTGTTGTGCAGTAGGAGTTTTCATGGGGGAAGTAAAGGATAATGATGCTTACGAGGAGGAGCTTCTCGATTACGAAGAGGAAGATGAAAAGGCCCTCGACTCCGTCAATGGAAAGCTTGGTTCCGAGACCGGCAAAAAGTAAGCATTAGTACTTTGATCTATGTTTGTTCCGGTAGAGTTGGTAAGATAGTCACAAATGCCGTCCGTTATGTTTCAAACTACATTGGAATTTGGATGTCTTGTTAACTTACGCTGAAGCCCTTGTATGAGCTTACAGAACTGTTTAGTTGGTCCACTACATAATTACATTAAGGGAAGTCATTAAATATTAAGCATATAAAACGAGAAGGGAGGAGTATTGCAGTGTTCACCCTTAGGATTAATGATAACCACACCTAATGATAACTACACCAAGGAACTGTTAAGAGGCCATGTCATGTAGGAAGCAAGGGGAAGGTTTGGGACTTGCTTCTTAGATTAGCCAACACCTGTGCTTTGCCTGGATTAGCTTAGTAACTCAAACTCTCACAGTTGTTGGAAACAAAGAGAACAAGAGCACAAAGATGATTGCTATGAAAGAACTCTTTTTGTGTTCTATGGTTAATGCTTTACAAATTGCCAATGACCCCTATCGGTTTATAGTTGATCAACCACGAAATGGATGGTTGAGATTAAACCACATCAATGGTCTTGATCGAGTGTCTATACAGACTCCATTAAACTTCTATCATTTGATACTCTATTTTTTCTCTATGTGGCGTATATGGTGGCGCACTTGTTTGTGACTTGACATATTGTATGCTACAATGATATTGTAACTTATTACGTGTTGTGCCGGTGAACAAAAAGTAAAAAATGAAAATCATATAATTTTGTTTTTAATTTTTAGTTTTGTAAAACCAGAAGTGAAGTAACGGTTAGTTCTTATAGTCAAACTATTTATTTCCCTTTCACAACTATCTGCTCCTTGCTAGCCTTTCTTGCTGATATGAAATGTAAGTGATGGTAACTTTCTCAGCCAGTTTTGAGCAATGGTTGTATTCAAACCCTTTCTTCTACTGATGTAATATTACAGAAATGACTCTATGTTGAAGTTCATTATTTTTCCTACTGCTCTATGTTTAATATGAATATGCAACATTTTATTAGGCACCGTACTTGTTTGTTAGACATGGCTTTGATTGTGAGTTTAAAATTTCTGTTGGTGACTGGTTGTCATACCCAAACTAATATTATGTTACCTCACTTGGTTGCAGGGGCTATGTTGGAATTCACAGTTCTGGATTCCGAGACTTCTTGCTGAAACCAGAGCTTCTTCGAGCAATTGTGGATTCTGGATTTGAACATCCTTCAGAAGGCATAGTCTCATACTTCCAATTTGTTGTTTATTCGTTAGTATTTGGCTTGAACTCTATAAACCTAGACCAACCTTTCAACTGATCTCTTTTTATGATAGAAAGTATTTATATATCGGTATGCAAGTTATGCATGCATAAGTGCACTAAACTTGCATTTTGTAAAGTACATCATGCATGTATGTGCAACTAATTTTTCAGGACTAGTGTGCTACACTTGCTATTAGCAAGACGAATCATTATGCTTGTTAACCATTTAATCATGCTTCTTAGTTTTTGAACCATCTGCGAATGTCAATGGAAACAAAATTTGATGGTTGGTCTATTGTTTATCTTATTTATAGAATAACCTTCGTTGTGGGAAATTTCTGATTGTATACCAATACTATGTCTCTAGTGGCTTTTTCTGTATCTGTTTGATGACTTTATTGCCACTGTAAGCGTATACTTCTGCTAATTATCTCGTTTTTTCTTTCTTTTCAGGTAATTATTAATTCCATGTTCATCATTTCAGCCAGATAACTGGCTTGGTAAACTTTCCATTTAGGGGAAGAGGACATCATTTTTACTTATGAAGGATTCATTCGCTGGGATTTTCTTTGCTTCATCAGTGCAACATGAGTGCATACCACAGGCTATCTTAGGAATGGATGTCATTTGTCAAGCAAAGTCTGGGATGGGGAAAACTGCTGTGTTTGTTCTGTCTACTCTACAACAGATCGAGCCTGTGGCAGGTCAGGTTGCTGCCCTTGTGCTTTGCCACACCAGAGAATTAGCTTATCAGGTGAGACTTAACAATTTTTTGTAAACCCAATTTTTTGTGTTGTGCTTAACAAGAGTATGCACTAGTAATTGTCACCCGTATCTCATCTTGTGTTACCAACTCTTTGTGCTGTGTCTGGTTGTACAGATCTGCAATGAGTTTGAAAGGTTCAGTAGGTACTTGCCTGATCTCAAGGTTGCTGTCTTCTACGGAGGTGTCAACATAAAGATCCATAAGGAACTACTGAAGAATGAATGTCCTCATATTGTTGTTGGAACACCTGGAAGAATATTGGGGCTTGCTAGGGATAAAGATCTTGGATTGAAGAATGTGAGGCATTTTATCCTTGATGAGTGTGACAAAATGTTGGAGTCACTTGGTATGTTGTCTTTATGCTTGTCTTTATCTTTTCAATTTTCTCCCTAATGCATCTGTATGGTGTATGCTGCAAAATTTGGCAGGCATGTTTAATGATCTTTTATTTGTCATCTGCAGACATGAGAAGGGATGTGCAGGAGATTTTTAAGATGACACCTCATGACAAGCAAGTAATGATGTTCTCTGCAACATTAAGCAAGGAAATTCGACCGGTTTGCAAGAAGTTTATGCAAGATGTAATACATCGTTGCTCATTTGTTCTTTTATCAATCTTTTGTCATCTGAAATAAAAATGATGGTAGAGCTAGATTCGGGATGTGATATGGTTCCGGAGGATGAACCCGATATGGATGGTTCCTGTCTCAATTCTCGGGCAATTGCACCAAAAACTCATTATATTTGCTACTTTAGGTTACTTTTAGTTGAGCAATTTCTCGCTTGTAATTTGTTTAATAGTCTCAGACTGAATGAGCAGTGAGCTGACTCATGGCATTTGACCTTTTCAGCCAATGGAAATTTATGTTGATGATGAAGCCAAGTTAACACTTCATGGGCTTGTCCAGGTATTTCTCCATGTCAAGATTGAAGGTTACGTTTTACTATTGAACAGGTTTGTACTCATTATTTTAATAATTTCCCCTTTCAGCATTACATAAAATTGGGTGAGATGGAGAAGAATCGCAAGCTCAATGACCTTCTAGATGCCTTGGACTTTAACCAAGTAGTCATTTTTGTCAAGAGTGTCAGCAGAGCTGCTGAGCTTAATAAATTACTTGTGGAGTGCAACTTTCCATCTATATGCATCCATTCTGGAATGTCTCAGGAAGAAAGGCAAGTATCTTGCAGCTATTATGCTTTCCTACAATCCATAAAATTATCAGTTATTGTGTAATCCTAGCTGTTTCTGCCTTTGTGTTTGATAAAAAAAAACAGCTGGTAGTTGTGTATTTTGTTACCCGGTATTGTTTGGACATGGGTAGTTGGGTAAAGACAAATTTGCAACGGGAAAGGGCGATTCATCTGATTCTGTTTAATTATTTACCTGTTTAACATAAGGCCATGCTTATTTTCTAGAAAGAGTTGGGGTAGTGTGTAATCTATTTTTATATTATTATTATTTATAATCGGTGTAAACATTTTGTGCTATATTATTTGGTTAGCTATATATTTGCTCAGTAAACGTTATTGGCCCTTCTTTGTTGGATGGGAGAAGATGGAATATAGCAAAGCTTGTCTCACATAATATCTTAAGCCTACATAAAAGGAGTCCACATTCTTCACCTGACTCTAGCTAAGCATCTATTTCTGTCAAATAGGGTGGCTAGGAGCCCTATAATTTAGTTATTTAGGAGTATTGCATGTAAGTAATTGCAAGAAAAATCAAGAGGTGGTTGTGGGGTTGTACAATCTAGACCTATCTACAAAAAATAAGCCTTCGGTTCGGGGTGGTTGTGGACAGAGTAAGATAGACTTGAAATTTAGGACAGTAATCTTATGAGGAAATGAAGTGGCAATTAAATGCAGAGCCTGTTGAAGAACAAGTACAGAAGGTACTGGGAGAGGCTATGATGGATATGAGTCTGAAACAAAATCCGGAAAGCATATCTATTTTTGGTTGTGGCATTAAATAGGGATTTTGGCCACATAGTTGTCTCTTTCTAGTTGTGTTTGACTTCCGTTGAATTTTTTGTCAGGTTGACACGCTACAAAGGGTTCAAGGAGGGTCTTAAAAGAATCCTTGTTGCAACTGATTTAGTTGGAAGAGGCATAGACATTGAGCGTGTTAATATTGTCATAAATTATGACATGCCAGATTCTGCCGACACATATCTGCACAGGGTTTGTAATTTAAATATCGGAGACAGATTTAGTTGAAACTATCATGGAACACAACTTATTTCTGTACTTGGGTTGTTTCAATGTTTTGGCAGGTGGGAAGAGCTGGCAGATTTGGCACCAAGGGTCTTGCAATCACTTTCGTATCATCTGCTTCAGACTCTGATGTTCTTAATCAGGTGAGAGTGGCTGATTGCTTTATGATAGTGGTTAATGCTGGTTGCCATCGTAAAAGTCCTTGTTTTGCTTTGGCTGGTCCGTTTTATATCTTCATTTGTTGCTGCAGGTCCAGGAAAGGTTTGAGGTAGACATAAAGGAGCTCCCAGAGCAAATTGATACTTCTACATACAGTATGGCTCTTTTGTGATATCCATGTTAATTTACTGGAATGTTCTCATTTTGGCATTTAGAGTGTACCTTTATTCTGCATACCTGTATAGAGAAGTACAAGTTTAAGAATCCTGCTAAGAGTTAAGCAGAAAGTAGGTTTAGGGGTTGTTTACCAAATTTGGTACATGTGAACCGGGTAAGAGTGCGGTCTGGGTAAATCCCGACTGAAAATGGTTGTATAATTACAATTTTGGGTAAATATTGTTTGATTGGGGTAGAACGTAGGTTTAGGGGTTGTTTACCATATTTTGTACGTGTTAACTGGGTAAGAGTGTGGTCTGGGTGAATCCCGACTTAGAATGGTTGTATAAATACAATTTTCGGTAAAGTTCGACCCGGGTCAGTGTCATATTGGTGGCTGACTCAGTCAGAAGTGGTAGGTACACATCATCATTTACCGGGAAGACAATTAACACTAAGCGGTCATTTACCTTACCATATGAACATGTCAAGGGCTGAGAATTTTACCCGGAAGAGCAATACAAGGATGGAGAGTCTTACCCGGTAAGTGAAGGTGACGACTTAGCTGGTGTGATGTTCTCTGGGATAATTTGTCATAACAATCGTGAACGTTCCTGTGGTAGTTCTAGGATTTACTACAACAAGATAATGAAAAAAATGGTTACATAATGGAATGCATACTCTTAATATTTGATCCTTTTGGGGAATATGTTTCTTAATAAACCTGTTTCTTGAACGTTGTTTTGTGCAGTGCCATCATAAGGCGAGGTCGGGTGATTACGCTTGTGGAAGGACAAAACGGATAATGTTATTAGCAAAAGTGGAGAGCTAGTTTTGATGATGATCATCATTGGGGCATATGGCAACTGTGCATTAGAGTAGTTGATGTTTTTGCATGAATGTTTAGTGTTTTGTTGGTATTCAGAGTTTTTAGATTGGTATTTAAAAGAGCAGTTGATAATTTGGCCTTGTATAACTAATATCTAGTACTTGTTGGTAGTTGAATTTTAGACCCTACTTGCTTTGTAACTTAAAACTTTACTTGTGTCTTCACCATCATCTTCTGCATTTTTTGGTAGCTTTTATGTACTTGGAACTTGGAAGTAGGGTGTTCATTGGTTTAAGTCGATTCAATCATTCAATGGATGTTGGATTTTGTCATTTGATTCAATCCAATTAATATTGGATATCTGATTGATCCAATGGATCTGGTTGATTCATATATTGGATATTACTGTTGGGTATCTATTAGATTAGATTGGATCCTTTTGATATTCTTATACATTTTTTCAACCGATTAATCTTTTCAACTAATGTTAATAGTTATATATGATTATTAGTTGAATGTGTACTTGGATGGTTGTTGTATTCCATCGGTTCGGTTTTAGTGGATTTTGAACAGTTATCCTAGATTTAATTTGGATGTTGAATTTTTGGAACTAATCCTATCCAAATTATATCAGATTATGATCGATCAGTTAAGAGGAGAATTTCGTTTGACAAAAAAAAGTTTGCCTTTTAATGGTTCTAAAACCTTCATGAATGATTTTGTATATTGTGTCTCTCTTAACCATTTAGCGTCTTAATTTAATTGTAAACAATTACTAAGCAATTATATTTAATTTTATACTCATGAGAACTTATTAATCATTCTAACTACTTAATTATTTTGTATTAAACCGTTCAACAACTGCCAAACAACATTTTAGTCTTATGTATGACATATGTCTCGAGAAATCTCAATTTTTTGTAATTTGAAGATGTTTAAATATAAAGAGAATCTTTTATGAAATTATTTATTTATCCATGAAAAATAAAAAAATTGATTTATGGTTTTTAAATTGTGTAATTACATTTTATTGTAGGCATTAAATTTCTTTTGTATGTATTTTGACGTTTTCTACATACTTTCCCGACTAGTCAAACTGTCAAAGTGAAGTCGCAAGCAGAGTCTGAAGATCGAAATTTGGGGAGGGCGAGTCAACATCCGGCAAGATGGGTTTCATCGGAGATTCGATTGATTCTTTGAAGTCCATTAATGTCAGACAGGCCTTGGAGCAGGCCATCACTCTCGGTATGCTACCCTATCTCTCTCTTTATATGCATACACGGAGCTTTAACTGATTGATTTGGGCATCTGATATGATAATTCTGTAATCTCCATTTTCATGTATTCCGATCCTTCCGTTCTTTGGATTTTGATCGGAATTTCATATTCTTTTGGATTTCTTGCTTCGAAGGCTTCATAATTGTAATTGTACGAGTTTGTCTGGTGAAATTTTGTTGGCTCAGTGTAGAATGGTGTTTCTGAATTAGGGTTTTGGTTCTTACAGTACCGAACATATTTAATTTCAATGTGAAAGGTAACTTTGAGGAAAAATTAAACGAGCATGATTCACCAAGATGGAGCCGATTTTGACTTGAAAATTGGAAACGACTGGTATAGCTGTCTGTGTGGTTGGTTTCCCATAAGTATAAGATTAATCTGTCTGTAGGGATTGGGAAGATTTTTGTTTGGACGTGTTTTTTTTATAGGAGGGCGTTTTTTATTGCGAGATGCAGGTACGGAAAAAACTTTGCTTTATGCATCGAAGAGTGCATAACCGCATGGATAATCCCACACTAACCCACATGAGTTCACCGGGGTGGAGCACGGTCTGCCAAAATCGGCATAGGTTAGGTGCTATTGATGGAACATGGTAAGCCTATCTTTCTCCATATGGAAGTGTCTCTCCTGTCCGGCTCGATATGAACAAAGTAGGCTGGTAGGTGGGTAGGCTGTCAAATACCGGACTTTTCCTTTTTTATTTAGAATTCCTCATCCTTCAGGTAAGACGCACCGTAGCCATCCTCGGCCTTCTTCATTTTCGATGAAAAAGAAAGAAAGCTCCCCCTGAAAGCTTATTGAAAAAGCTGCCTTCTATATCATTAAGCCACTACCAAGTAGTCATGTATAGCTGACGAAATAAGCTGCGAGTCCCATTAAGCTCATTAAGCTGCTAACAAACAAGCCCTTATGCTAGTATTTTTATGTATTTCTGAGTGTAGAGGTGAATTTGGAAGTCCTTACCAGCATATGTGCTGCAAATCCTGACGGCAATCTACATTAGAAGAAACCGAACTTTGTTTGGCCTCATTGTCCAATTTCATTTAATAGTAATTCACGTCATTTGGTTAGAATTATTTGCTTTTAAGGTTGTTTAAAAACCCTAAATTTGTACCAATAGAATAGTTACAGTTCATTGCTTTTGCATAAAGATAGCAAAGCGTAGGATTCACAAATATGTATAATTCATGATTTCAAGTTTTTGTAATTTCGAGGAGATTTAGAGCTCTCTCATGCATGGGTGATCGGATCCCGGTTGTTACTTGAAACAACTTGAATATCAATGAGGTGTTTTGCCAAAAAATGATGTATACAACACTCTTTCATTTTAGCTTCATGGTAGTACTATGTGTGGTTAGACATGACTGGCCGAAATAAACAAGGCTGGCATGACAACAATTTGTGATGCAAAATGTGTCTTGATGTGGGTTTTATAATATTACCTAAAATACCAGGCTATTTAGCTCAATGACCTTCAGAAGCTCGTTTGCAGAATTACCTTCTCGTGTATTTCTAAGTTTTTATGGGAGCAGGTTGTTTTGAACCAGGGGTAGGTTGTTTTAAACCAAAGGCAGGCCAGATGAAGGTCATTGAGAATTTTTTTTTTAGAAGGTCATGCTCTTAATTGGAAACTCATTTGAGGTCATTCAACCAAAGGACTCCCTAAATTACCTTTTGGTTTTGGCTTCAGGTATGATCGTCTCATCTGCACTAATTATATGGAAGCTTTTGATGTGTGTTACTGGTAGCGAGTCACCTGTTGTCGTCGTTCTTTCCGAAAGCATGGAGCCGGCATTCCAGAGGGTAAGTCCGTCCGATATTTTACTTTTCTTTTTGACATGTGGAGGTGATTTTTATGCAAGAGTAATAAGCTTCCACAACAAGCAACTAAACTCTTAAGATGAACCAGAAAGGTTGTAGTTCCTATCAGGGTTCTTGGAATCTTGATTTAGCGAAAAGGGAAACCTATTACCGCTATAGACTTCCAGTGTGGACTCCTTAAAGATATTGTAAATCTTTTACATCTCTTAACTTGTAATTAAAGATCATCTAGTATTATATAATATAATTCCTTCACACAGACACTCTTTGCAATGATAGTTCTCTCCTTTTTCAAGCTAAATACGGAGAATTAGTTTTTCATTTGAATTCGTTGTGGTAGCCTGCTGATGTGATCCTATTGCAGCCAAGTCTTCAAACAAATTCAAGTTCCAACAGGACATTGTTGACTTGTTTGATTTGATGCCAACTTGACTCGGTCTGGAATGCTGGATTTACCATGTCGAATTGAAGAACAAACAGATGAAATAGTTATATTGCTATCTTCTCCATTAGTGTGTGAGATCTGTGAATTATTTTCTGCTTCATATATTTTCTTGGAACTGATGCCCAATGACATTATCAGGGAGATATTCTATTCTTAAGAATGGGTGAAGACCCTATTCGAGCGGGTGAAATTGTTGTGTTCAACATCGATGTAAGAGCTCACTTTTCTTTTTGATAGTCTAATATTTTGGTTACTGTGTGCATGCTTGTTGGAACTGTTATCACTTTTCGAGTAAACTCTAAGCTTGTCCTTTTTCCCTTCCTCTGTTTTCTAATTTTCATCCAGCGCCGCGAGATTCCAATTGTGCATCGTGTAATCAAGGTATTGCATTTTTCCTGGATTAGTTTGTCTTTGAGTTACCACCAAGTAACATGATGTTTTTTTTTTCAACCGACTCCCTGCAATAATGATGTTATTTGCTATGCTGTATTACTATTAACATGGTTCTTCAAGTATTGTGGTGTACTGGTGTTTGTTATAAGTTTGCGGAAACATCTGTTATCCCTGATACATTTGAAAAGTGTCCAATGCCATTTCATTATGCAAAATTAGCTTATGGAACATACAAGACATTTGGAAAAGTGGAGCACTATAAATCAAACTAAATCACGAAGCCAGTAGATCTTTCAGTTAGTGACATATTGTAAATAAACCAAACTAAATCAAATGACCCAGTAAATCCCGCTTGAAAGTAGGGTCCAGTAGGGCTGTAAACGAACCGAACGAACACGAACGGAGGCTTGTTCATGTTCGTTCGTTTAACTTAACCGAACAAACGAACGAACACGAACGGTAAACGAACGAAAATATTTGTGTTCGTGTTCGTTCGTTTAGAAATCAGGTGTGTTCGTGTTCGTTTATGTTCGTTCGTTAACATGCTAAACGAACGAGCTAAACGAACAAGTTAAACGAACATAAATAAATATTATTTGAATTCAAAGTAAATAAATAAAAGATTATATATTAAATTTAATATATAAACGAACATAAACGAACGAATATAAACGAACGATAAATAAACGAACGTTCACAAACATAAATGAACGAACTAGGCTCTTGTTCATGTTCGTTCGTTTAATAAACGAACAAAAAAATTTGTTCATGTTCGTTCATTTATTAAATAAACGAACATAAACGAACTTCCCGCCGAACGGTTCACGAACGGTTCGCTGAACGTTCGGTTCGTTTACAGCCCTAGGGTCCAGTGCTAGGGGGTTGAGATGTACGCAGACTGACCTCTAACGCAAAGAGTAGAGTGGCTTGTGAGCAAGACATGTAGAATGACCAAATACTAGCACATGGTTAACATAAAACATGGAAAATGACATATTGCAAATAATTGATATTGGTCCATAACAATTCATTGTTTTGTCATGCATTTTAGATATTTAACCAGTAGTAAAGATCTCTACTAAACTATGCACCAACCAACGTCAGCGTTACTTTGGGATGGACAGTAGTTTTCGTTCATCTTGTTAGTGTGAACAGTATATCTTATTGTTTCTTCTTACAGGTTCATGAACGGAATAATACGAATCCGATAGATATTGATGTCCTTACAAAAGGTATTATTTCTAGCAATGTACTCCCTTCGTCCAAAAATAAGTGTCCATATTTCTATTTTAGTTTGTCCGAAAATAAGTGTCTACTTTCAAAAGTAAACGCTAAACTTTTTCCAATTCTACCTACAATTATGAGATACTGAATTCATTACTCTCTTTATGATTAAGGGTAATATAGTCATTTATTACTTAAAATATGTAATAATTATACATTTTTAGAACTGTGTATATTTTTCTTTGTGGACATTTATTTTGGGACAGAGGGAATAGTAGACTCCTCACTTGAATGCTCTTCTGAGACAATCTCTCTCTCTCTTGCAGGAGATAACAACGATAAGGATGACCGAATTCTATATGCACCTGGTCAGCAGTGGCTTAATCGGCAACATATCATGGGGAGAGCTGTGGGGTAAGACTTTCTATAGATTCAGGGATATTTGGAGGCTACTACCATTAAGTCAATCAGTAAACAATCTTTTTTTTTTTTTTTTTGGAAAGGAAACCAGGCAAATCAGTAAACAATCTTTTAAGCAACAGGAAATACATCCAGTTGACCATGTCCTAGAATCTTCTATTAAAAAGGCTTCTACCATCTTGTTTATATAGATTAGCAATCAGCATGATGAAATGAAGCATTGTTGATTTGCAGGTTTTTACCTTACGTTGGATACGTTACAATCATCATGACGGACATCCCGATTATAAAGGTTTGAATTTTGGTATTTTCTAGTTTGGTATTTAACTGAAGTTTTCTAGTTTGGTATTTAACTGAAGTGGAGTTTCTGATTGATTAATGTTGGTGTGTGTATTATGTTGCAGTATGTTCTTATTGGAGCTTTGGGTTTACTTGCAATTACATCCAAAGATTGATCACATTATCCCCTTCTGATTTGGTCATATACACATTTCTTTCAACCAACAAAATCCAAATGATTGTAGGTGAGAAACTAATGTATTTCTACTTTTTTTTGTGGCCATTTATGATGTGTTCACTTGCTCATTCCCTCTTGTTTGTGGGGAACTTATGCTAACAGCCACTATAAAATTTTAATCAGCTATTCCCTCTGGCCGTAAGGGTACTTGTAACCGGTCTTAGGTTAACCACAAGCGTGGTGTCTGATTGGTTTGAGCTTGACTCCAAAGGTTAAAAGTACCTGGAGGTCCCAGGTTCAAATCCAATGAGGAATAAAAATCCCCTTGTAGCCACGGAGGTTCAAATGCGGTGACTCCGGGCTATCTGCAAAGCAGGTGGTCGTTGATGAGTGGCTCGCATAGCGGGTTGGATATCCAGGTTAATAAAAAAAAACATTTTCTTTTTATATATTTTAAAAAAATATCTTTTTGATAAAATTTTAAAAATACTTTAATGTTATTCTAATACACTTTAAAATATCTAACTAGATCAATCAAATACACTTAAAAATTACGTTTTATTATAGTTTTATAATTGGTTTTCAATCAAATACACTTAAAAAATATGTTTTATTGTAAATTTGTAATTTGATTTTCAATCAAATACACTTAGAAAGCTAGAAATACATTTAAAAGTATATTTATTTTTTGAAAAAAATCAGACAAGTCTCAGACCAGGTCTATAACTGGTCCCAGGCCGAGCCCATTTGGCCATCTTATAGAAGGCAAAATCAACTATAGCCCAACAAAACCAAGAGGTGCAACCCAAACAAAACCAAGAGCCATAAAACCATGCTCCGAAGAACCCACAGGACGGACCAAAATTGAGCCGAAACAAGACCATTCATAACTCGAACAGAAACCGGACACGTAGCCTATAGTTTTATGAAATTGTTGTGTTCAAATGTGGTGACTCTGGGTTACTCGCAAAGCAAGTGATCGTCCTGAGATTAATCAGCTCGCATAACGGATTTGATATCCACGTTAATAAAAAAAAAGCGAACAGTTGTTTTTTGTTTCTTTTAATGTTTCGTTTTATATTTTGGCTTATTGATGTTATAATGCGATTTTATGTGGTTTTGAGGAAAAGAAATGTTTTTATTTTTAAATTTGAATGTATTATAAAATTTTGAAAAAAATAATCGATATCAGTATTAAATTAACTATTTAAAAGTTCTCGGTTTATGTAATTTCTCTAATTCAAGTTTTTATTATAATCTAATTGAAGTTTAATAACGAATTAATTTATTTTTGGTTTAATAAAATAATTTTTTAAGAGAATAACTAAATATTCAGTTAGAACTCGATGAGTATCTTAACTATATTTATAGATTTTTTTATATATCATATAATTGATTTTAGTTATCAGAAGTTAGTTACAAGATTTAAACATGGAGCTTTAATAAGATGTATCGTGCACATTTTACTTGTAATTTTGAATTTTAAGTAATATGCATCAATAAACAATATTTTATACATACAAAATTGTTTTTAAGAGTTTTTTTTTTCAATCTAGAACTTTTTAGTCGTTCTTACTTGAATCTGTACCATGATAATTTTGCAACTAATAACAGTTATTAATAAAATCTAAGATGTATAAATAATTTTATTATATATTTAATAATAAACGGTATTTTACAAACCAAGTCATTTGTAAAAAGCTGTGAAAACTGAAAACCATCGATTTTATTGTTTATTTTAATGAAAATTTTTCATGAAATTATTTCAAATAATTATGGATATTATCATCTTTATATTATATTAATTTTAATAAACAAATTTCATCAAAACGAGAAATATGAAACAATTTAGTTTTTCCATAGAAACAAAAATATATGAAACAATTTTGTAATGAAATGAATTATTTTAAACAATTTATCATATTAAACAATTTCAAGAAAAAAATTCACTAAAATAAACAATGAAATTGATGGTTTTCACAATTTGTACAAATTGCTTTATTTACAAAATATACCTCCCCTTGAACAATATTACATACAATAATCAGACTGATAATTCGATCAATTATAACCAAAAATCACTCACCAAGAAAACATGAGTGAAACATGGGTCAAATTGCAGATGTAAACGTTATTCTCCCTCTCCTTCAACTTGATTCTGGTTTTGGTTTTCATTCTGAAGAGCGTGTAAATGGTCGAACTTTCCTCGTATGTCTAAGTCTCTCCTGTCTCGTATCACGCCTCGCCACAGTCGCAGCTCCAAATCACCCACCACCAACACCATCACCATCACCTATCGTATCAAGAAAATAGTCAACGAACTCTGTCACATTCTCACAACCCGAAACACCCATTGGGAACAAACTCTCGAAACCCGACTCTCTGAAGAGGACATCGTTCCATCAGATGTTGCCCACCAAGTGTTTGATAAAATTCGCGACGTTGAATCGGCCTTGAAATTCTTTAATTGGATTTCCCAGCGGCCTTATGGTTGTCCGCTTGATGGGGTTGCTTATTCTTCTCTTTTAAAGCTCTTGGCCAAAGCAAAAGCTTTTCGTGAGATTGATTCGCTGTTCATTCGTATAAAAAATGAAGAAGAACCGCCCACACATGAAGCTCTAAATGATGTCATTCGAGCTTATTCGGAATGTGGGTTGATCGATAAAGCTCTTGATATCTATTCATTTGTTGTTGAAACATACAACTGTGTTCCAAACGTGTTTGCTTGCAATTCTTTGTTGACTGGGCTAGTAAAAACCAATCGTTTGGAAACTGCATTTCAAGTGTATAATGAAATGCTTCATAGAAGTGATGCGAGTGGAACTGGTTGTTGTGCAGATAACTACAGCACTTCTATAATGGCGAATGCACTTTGTAAGAAAGGAAAGGTGGAAGAAGCCAAAAAGTTGATTTCTAACAGATGGGGACAAGGCTGCATACCCAATGTTGTTTTCTACAATACCCTCATTGATGGATACTGCAAGAAAGGTGAAGTTAAAAGAGCATTTATGTTGTTTAAAGATCTCAAATTGAAGGGTTTTTTGCCTGCAGCGAAGACATATGGAGCAATGATAAATGGTCTTTGCAAGGAAGGCGATTTCGGCATCGTGGAGAGGCTTATGAACGAAATGAAGTCGAGAGGTTTGGCGATAAATGTAAACGTTTATAATAGCATCATTGACGCTCAATGTCGACATGGTTGCAGGTTAAAAGCAGAGGAGATGTTTAAAGAAATGATCAAGATTGGTTGCCCACCAGATATTATTACATATAATATCTTGATATACGATTCTTGTAGTCATGGGAAAGCTAAAGAAGCTGAAGAACTCATGGAACAGGCTGCAAGAAGAGGATTGAGGCCAAATAAGTTAACTTTTACCCCCTTGTTAAATGCATATTGCAGACAAAATGATACAGAAAAGGCCTTCAATTTGTTCATTAAAATGATCGATAGTGGAGAAAAACCAGATCTTTTAACCTACGGATCTCTTATTCATGGGTTTGTTGTTTTGGGTGAGGTCGATACTGCAATGGTGATCTTGAACAAGATGATCGAAAAAGGGGTGTTCCCGGATGCAGGGATTTATAATGTTTTGATGAATGGATTCTGCAAGAAAGGTAAACTTTCTGCTGCCAAGAATCTGCTTTCTAATATGCTTGATCAGAATGTTGCAGCTGATAAATTCGTTTACGCAACTTTAATCGATGGATTTGTTAGAGATGGAGATCTTGATGAAGCCAAGAATCTCTTTGAACTCGCAATGGAAAAGGGTCTGAAACTTGATGTTGTTGGGTATAACGCAATGATCAAGGGTTATTGTAAAGTTGGCAAGTTAAAAGATGCGGTTTCTTGCGTCAAGCGGATGACTAAAGCTCGGGTTTCTCCCGATGAGTTTACTTATTCGACAATCATTGACGGGTATGTAAAACAACATGATTTGGATGGGGCGTTGGGAATCTTTAGTCGTATGTTGAAACAGAACTGTAAGCCGAACGTGGTCACGTATACTTCTCTGATTAGCGGATTCTGTCAGAAGGGAGACCACATCGGTGGTGAGAAATTATTCAACGAAATGAAGCTTCGTGGGTTGATACCGAATGTGGTCACTTACAGTATCGTAATCGGAAGCTATTGCAAGATGAGAAAACTAGCAAAAGCGGCTTCTTTTTTCGAACAAATGTTGGCGAGCAAATGCAAACCGAATGACGTCACTTTCCGTTATTTGGTCGACGGATTTGCAAAGTATGCAGGAGATGCAGTATCCGAGAAAGATATCAAGAACTCAATGTTTCTTGATATTAACAGCAAGATGATATCAGATGGTTGGTCTCCAAGGCCTGCTGCATACCGAACAATCGTTGTTTGCCTTTGCCTTCACGGAATGCTCGATATTTCTTTACAGTTAAGCAAAAAGACAGCAATTCGCAATTGCCCTGTCGTTTTTGGTGCATTGCTATATGGTATATGTTTGGAAAGGAAAGCAGAAGAATGGAACAGACTTATTTCCTGTAATCTAAATGAATCAGAGCTTCTTGTTGCCGTAAAGTATTCTTCGATTTTCGACCAGTTTTTCCGACAACGGGCGCCTTCGGAAGCTTCAGTCATTTTGCAGAAGTTGGTCGATGATCGTAAGTCTAAACATTACAAACCGGGCTGCTTAGAAGTTTCGGTAAGCTAAGAGACTGAGAAATATGTTATTGATGCATTCATTATAGGTTACGGGTCGGGTTTTTCGGTCCGACGGCCCTAACATATCAAAACCAAACCTGTTTTTGCGAGTTCGATAACTTGTTCTTATTATACACCCTTTTATAGGGCCTTTTTAAACAGTGCTATTTTATACATGCTCAAACCTGTTATTCAAAAGGGACAAACAGACTGATTCTAGCAGACCGTACCATCCATAAACAACTCTATCGTTCATCGATCAAACAGACTCGTCATCTTTCCATTCGGGCATTGCAAACCAGCGATCATAACTTGATAAAATGAGATGCAAAATTTTACAAAAATGTATTCAAGAAAGTGGTACCAAAAGTTGAATACAAGAATCATAATTTGAAGTCACAAAAGCAATCTGGTAAAGCAGAGCCTCTTCCCATTACAAAATCAGCTTTATGAGCCTTTCTCATGGCTTCCATCAATTCTTTCCCTCTTAACCCTTCAGAACTCAAGTCTGCAAAAGCCTTCCTGTTTAAAAAAAGGGTTTTATAAAACCCTTGATAAGCTCTCATTGCTGCCACCATTTTATCCATGTTACCGAAATACGTCGCCACATAAGCGTCGCTATTGATCGACACATAATAATCCAGTGCCGCTTTCGTGTTTCCGTGCATGTTCTTGAAGTCTTCACCGCTCAAAAGAGATGATTTGGTGACGACATTTGTGTAAACGGAGGTTAATCCTTCGAGTTCCATCAAACCGTCTCCGGCTGCTAAATAAATGTTTGTATTTGTTGGGATGGAAAGAGATTGAAGAATGAAAGCAGTTTCGTTAGGAGTAAGTGGGCATTTTCCGCGGTTTCTCCAAAGCCGAGCGGTTTCTCCGGTCCACGGTTTTCGATCGCCACGTGCAGCCTCTATAGATTCCATGGAAGCAGGAGAAAGGCCTTCGTATTCACATTGGCTGTAAGCTACCATATCAGGTTCAAAACGGAGGTGGAGGGATAAAAAGGGTTTTGGTATGGCTTGCAGAAGCTCGGAGCTTTTCTTCTCCAAGGTGCTTGTTAGGCGCAATGCACTGTAACATGCTTGACAAAGTGCAGCCTTTGCATAGAGAGGAAACCTGCAAGATTTCACTAGTTTAAAAAACTAATTACCATTACAATAAATTCGGCTTTACAGGACGTCAAAGATGTTTAAGGGACTGTTTGTTAGCAGCTTAATGAGCTTAATGAGACTCACTGCTTATTCGGTCAGCTATAAGTGACTGTTTGGTAGTGGCTTAATGAAATCGAAAGTGGCTTATTCAGTAAGCTTTCAGGGGAGAGCTTTATGTAGAAAGCCAAGTTTTTTCCCAAGCTTCTCCTCCCAATTCAAAAACACGCTTCTTCATATGTATGAAAAACCCTCCCAAACAAAAACCTTCTCAATCTATACAGACAGATTAATCTACACAAGCAGCCTTATCCATACATGGCTTGATGGAAAACCAACCAAACACCCCCCTAATGTCCTAATAGACAGCTTTATAGGACTTAAATATATAAAACTAACAATTGTGTGTAATGCTGGGGCGTATTTGGCATCCCAACAAAATTTTTTCGACATTTTTAAAATAAACTGTCATGTTAGCTTTTTTATTGAATACTTTTGAGAAGTATTCTATGAACACATATTTTTATATGACACTTATTTTGACATACACTTTTTCAAATAATGTCATATAAAAATCTAACAGGACGTTTTATTTTAATATTGTCCTAAAAAACTTGTTAGAACGCGTTAAGATATCTAGACATATATGGCTCCTATAAAGCCGATTTTGCTGTAGTGTGCGTTTATTGTTTCCCCACTTCAAGAAAGGAAATGGTCTCATTACCTATCTCGTCGTTGGCTCATTGCAGGTGTAATAGAGATGTAACGATGCTCCAATAATGATGGAAGTACGCTCTCAACATAATCAAAATGGCCTTTGCGTTTGCTGCAATCCACTCGGACAGGTTCTCTTGAAGCAACTTCTGCGGGTGGTTCTTTTACAACTTTAATAAATCCCTTCAGCTGTTGTATGAAATAGTCCACATCAAATACATCTGTGAAACCACTGAAGAGGAATACAACAATTACATTGAAATCACAAAAGTGAGTTACAATGAATCTGAAAATCAAAGAGAGTGCAAATCTTCATCTCTACAAGTGATTCAAAAGATAAAAATTCAACTAAAAAGGAATTCATCAAATGGGTCTTTTAGCAATTATAGAGTTAAAAGTAACTGACTGAACTCTGGAGTAACCTAAAATTGCTGATTCATCCCATCCTCCATTATCCAATTATTATGGGTCTGCTTAAGATTATGTCTACAGGGTTCTTTGTTTACTTTCATCTAGAACCAGCTCCTCTGCCTTTAGAGTTAGAGTCAGGTCTACATACATCTCCCCCCCCCCCAACCTCACCCCACATCCGGTGGGATATATTGGGCTAGTTTGGTTTGGTTTGGTTTGGTTTGATTATCTATGAANTTGGTTTGGTTTGGTTTGGTTTGATTATCTATGAACCAGCAAAAATTATGTTATAGCACATCCTCCATCTCGATGGACAGTAACTTCTAAAACCAGAAATTCCCGAGTCATGTCATCAGAAAAGGTTTGTAGGCCGATTGGAATTATCAAGAATACAGCAGGCAAAACTACAACGAAAGCTGAATATGCAACAGCAATCCAAGGTCAAATACCCAAACAGAAATCAAACTCCCACTCACAAGGAATAAAGAAGCTACACCAGCTAAGAAACATACTTGGAGCTTAACCTATTCAAGCATCCCCTGTTGATAGCATCCAGGACTTTTAGAATCCTGTTTTCTGAATCAAGTCAACTCCAACTTAATTGATAAAAAAAAAGTTTGCACAATAACTGCTTTGCTCATTATGTATACATGGTCATTCACCAATAACCTAACACAAGAATCATCTCATAAGTGATTTTCAGTTCAGGCCTATATCTAAAGAAGTTGCACCTCATCACAAATGAAGAAAAGAAATTGAAAAAGGAATGAAACAAGGGTAAGTAAGAAAACCAGAAAAGGGCAAACACCAGATCAAGGATTTTACCAAAGTTCAGCATCTAATTAATAAAAAGTTCCAAATATGTCACACTTACAAGATGTCAAGCACCACCCATTAGAAAGTACATATGCTAATTCCTAACCTACCAGTTAATCTCTTGATTGTTGGTAATATATTGTATCGCCTCCAAAGGAAAACAAATAAAGAGGTGTGTAATTCAGCATTTCTGTTTTGGTTGAGCTATTAACAACATGAAGTACCTTGATTCGTTCCAATATGCAGCCACTTCAAACTTTGGCAAAACAAGAGTTGCATTCAGTAACCGTGCAACGCCAACACCATCACATAACTGATAACAATAGTAAACATGAGTTTTGTTGCTCAAACATTCTTCAATAGCAATAACTACGTTTATAACAGAAAAACCAAAAGGCAGTGATTGTAAATGTTTTTGACTACTTACATCCCTCCTCATCTGATTAAGCCCACCATAACAATCCACTCGGATATAGCCATTACTCTCAGCCGGCAGAGCTGCAACATTTCAACACAAAAAACCAAATGCAATTGTCTGCATTGAAGGCAATTCAAAGATGTGGCTCAACCAAAGATCCTAGACCCCAAATCGACATTTTCCCACTAATCGTAGGTGAAACACTACCATTGGCATTAATCATAATTGGCAAAAGGAAACCTAAATAGTCTTTACTTACAGTATAATTAGTGGTATGCCAAAAAATATGCCTCCATTCAATTGGTTGTCCTGAAAATGCTCAGTTTATGCAAAACTAAAAGTAAGGTAGATTAATAAAGATAAATTCTTCAAAAATCTCAAGCTCTAATTGACGAAGCTTAATTTTGAGAACAAAGTAAAACCAAAAACTATGTAGTTGTTTAATTTAATAATAGATCTTCAGGAAAACAGTATGTTCCAAGCTTTGAATGGTGAGAAATCTAACTGAAATCAAATAACAACTTGAAAAACAAACTGACCAGTCAAATGTCCTTGAAGCCACCATTTACACGGTCGCCATTCTAAAATCCTTTTCGCACTCCATATATCAGACTCGGCACTGCAATTTCAACATCGTAGTGGATCCAAAATCAGTTAATAAGACAATTGATTAGAAGCTCAAATCGAAACGAAGGAGGATCCATGAACTTGCCTGTAGGAATAGAGCGGGAGGTGGGAGAAAGGTGAAGAAGGAGATAGAGAGATCACTGCGAACAATAGGATGATAGTGAAGAAAGTGAGAGTGAACAGGGGTTTCTTCACAAAAATTGATAACATCTGATACATACATATGGATCAACTTCTTGCAATCACAAAAGGGTTTGAGATTTCAATGGCGATTACAGTGTTGAAACAAAGAGGAAGAGATCTGGCGCAAGGTATCATATTGGGAGTAGATTTGGGGATATCGAGCTTTTTAAAAACCACTGCATCGCCACTTTGGTTTAGGTATGGTTTTACAACCGTAAAAAGGTGAATTGAATTTTTTCCAAAAAATATCCGTCCTAAATCTAAAATACGATACATCTTGGTTTTAATGTTTCATTTTTTTTATGTTATAATATGGTTTTATGTGATTTTGATAAAGCGATAATATTTTAATTCATGAATAAAACATAAATATGAAGGTATCATAAAAAATTGAAAAAAATATATTGATATCAGTACCAAACTAACTATTTAAAATTTCTTATTTTTTTGTATTTGTTTGATTCATTTTTTTATTTTTGGTTTAATAATACTTAAATATTTTGTTAAAACTCAATGATTATCCTAATTATATTTTAGATATTTTATAATTAAAATGAGATGTTTATTCTTTAAATTATTCTATCTGCAGTTAGTTATACGAATTCAAACATGAAGCTTTAATAAGTTGTATTTACGTACAATTTACTTGTAATCTTGAATTTCAAGTAATATAAATCGATTAACAGTACTTCATGTATAAAAAATGGTTTTTAATAAGTTTTTTTCAAATGTTTTATAATATAGTATAGATTTATATGAGTTTATATATGAATTTTCAAATCGTTTTTTCCAATCATTCACATGTGAATATTAGATTTAACCTTTAATTTTTATCTTTCTATGATTTTTAGCATTCTTATTTGATGTTTTAAACCGGTCGCTGGTATAATAACATATTTTTCTTAACAAGTGTAACAAACATTCAATATTACCTATTCTGTATTTATTTTGACTGGTATACAAAAACACTTGTAAGTATCAGTATCGCATCAAAATCAACTTATGTCAGTTTGTTCTGTAGGTTGAAAACATGTATATAAAGTTCATGGACGGACCTAGGCTTGTGGTATATGTGACACGTGTCACCGTATTATTTCTCGTATAAGGGTAAAAAAATTAGGTTTCGTGAACGGTGCAACCGTATTAATTTGTTGTGTGCCACCATATGTATTTTGAAACTACAATGAAAACAAATTTCATTTGGTAGAGTTGGTTTGTAAGACTTTTATTCCACCCTACACCCAAGTTCGAATCCTGTTAGTGTCATTTTCTTAATCAAATGGTGTCACCGTTTGAAAAAAAATTATATATATTTGTTTATTATAGTCAAACAGTGCCACCAATAGAAAAAAATTCCAATATCTTTTTTTTTATAGCCAAATGGTGCCATCGTTTGAAATTTTTTTTGGATCCGTCCCTGATAAAGTTAAACAGGGTATGGAATATGAAGAACTAAACGTTTGTTATACTGAATATTCCGTGAACGCAGGACACATGTCACACTCTCCTTTATCCCCTGATTCATAATGAAAAACAGGTTTACAACTGAATTTTCTGGTATCCAAAATACCAAATTTGTAAGCTTTTATGGTGTCAATAATCACCCTCTTCTTCACTATCTTCTTCCCTTTTGGTGCTCTTCCTATTACCTCTCATGATCCCAGAAAGATCTTGAATCGAACAAGAACTGCTTCTTTCCATCTTTTCTGCAAGTATCTCCACTTGTTCTGCAAACCCTAATCCAATGATTTTGTTCCTCAATAACTCACAAGTCGACCCGTATGGCGGAATGCCGCCATCAACCATCATTTCAAAATACCGACACGCCTCCTCCACCATCCCTTTCTTCCGACAAAAGCCATGAACCATCACGGCATACGTTGAAGCCGATGGATGGAAACCTGTCTCTTCCATCTTCTCCCATAAGCTCGTGACCCTATCGAACCTCCCAACCCGAATCAGCATTTTGAGCAACATGTTATACGTATGCCGATCAGGTTCACATGAATCCGTATCCATTCTTGATACAAGTTTAGTGGCCATGTTAACTTCTAACCGATTACAATGGAAATTCAAGATTGCATTGTAGCTCCAGACGTCGGGTTTCACTTTTCTTTCGATCATTTCATCTAAAAGTTGGTAAGCTTCTTCGGTTTTATCCTTTTTACAAAGGGTTTTGATGATGGCGTTGTATGTAAACACGTTAGGGACGAGATTATACCTTTTCATCCGATCAAGAACTCGAAAGGCGGAATGGAGATCGTTTGCATTACAAGAAGCATGGATGAAAATGGAGTAAGTGAAGGCATCGGGTTCAAGCCCTTTCGGCCTCATATCGCGGAATAACTTATAAGCTCCAGTGACATCACCTCCCTTACACATAGACTCCAAAATGCTATTATAAGCATGCACATCTACACAACATCGTCTTTCAAGCATTTCATCGAACACCTTCTGTGCTTCACTTGATTCTCCAATGTAGCCCCAACCTCTGACAAGAATGCTGTAGGTTTTCACGCTAGGATTAAATTCATGCTTAATTTCATCAAAAAACATCTGGGCATCCCTCACATGTCTCCTCTTGCAAAGCACATATAAAAGCTGGTCTAGATCAGTAATACTCGGATGAATCCCGTAATCAACCATGTTCTTGAAAGCTCTAATGGCGTCAGAAGGCAAATTAGCTCTACTATAAGCACTAAAAATAACCCAGAAAATTACAGAACTAATTTCGCAAGATTGAGATTCTTTCATTTCTCCAAGGAAGTCCCAAATCAATGGAAACTGTTTGCTTCTACCTAAGATATCAATTAAAATGTGATAGCTGTTTTTGCTGTGTACAAAATCAGGCAAGTCTTTAGCCCAAAGAAAGAACCTGTGAGCAGAAAACCCAAGATTGTTGCAACGTTTGAGTACTTGTTCAACCAAATCGGTGGTTACGCCGGATGCAAAGGGGGTGAGAGCTGAAACGATGTCGTGGCGGGGGCTCCGGTAGTCACTGAGAATGCGAGAAATGTCGTTGACGAGTTGTGTTGAAGAGAAGGAGGAAGAAGAAGGGAAAGGTTGAGACGAATAGGGTGAGATAAGGGGAGTCGGAGAAGGAAGTGTTCCGGTGAAAAGACGGCGGTATATGGTTTTGGTTTGGTGGGAAAGTGATCTGATTGCCATTTCCGACCAAAAGTTGAACCGTCGTGTGATGGCCAACAATCAAAGCATCGCCGTCGTGATGTAGAGTGAGGTAGGGCGGCGATACTACGGGAATTGTCCCTTTTCGAACTCGATACTTCCGGGATGCTCCTGGGTTGGGTTGAGTTGATCGTGTCGAACGATTTAATCCAATGTTTACGATTTGAAAAAATCTTAACTCAACCCAACCTAACCAAAGTGCAACCTAACCCAACCTGTCGGGTTGATGCTTTGATATATTAAAATATTTTTCTAACCTTGAATATGTTATTTATCTACACATAATTTTTTTCTTCATAATCAACCATTTGATACAACTTATCTATATTTCTTATGTATATCACATTCAGTTAATTTTCTCAATTTACATATATATATGTTCATAATTACTGAACATATATATGAATGAGTTATATAGAGATGTGAATAGATTAAAAATATATGTATATGAAAAGCATACATAATAGTGTAATTATCTAATGTATATATTAATATAAATTCAACAATCATATTAAATTCAAGAAATAAAAAGATATCGGGTTCATCGAGTTGGGTTGGATTCAAATAATAGTAACCAAATATCAACCCAATACCTACGGTTTGACAATTTTACAACTCGATTAGACATCGGGTTACTTCAGGTTGGGTTATTTCGCGTTGGGTTGGGTTATTTCGATCGGGTTGGTCGGGTTTTTGAGCACCCCTAGTTGCGGTTGAACGGATTCTCCAAAGAGAAATTCAAGAAATAGGAATTAAAAGACAAAAATAGCATATTTCCACATTGGGATCCCTGTTCATCGTCGGGGATATAGATGAKGATGTGATCATATTTCCCAGGAAGGATGGGGATGGGGATGGGGATGGAGACGGAGACGGAGACGGAGATGAGGAATCGGTGACAGGGATGGGAATTGAGATTTCCGTCTCATCCACGCCCCATTCTCGTGCCTAGGGTTTTAAGTACTTACAAAACATTTTTTTGGCATATAATAATATCGAAATTATTTTGTGAGACCATACCAAAAAATTTCCTACATCCGTCTCCCATGAAAAGTGAATGTTTTTCTCTTTTAACTTCTCCGTGAGTCACGGAGGTGCTTGAAAGTTTCAAAGAGGAATTGACTAGGAGATGAATTTGATCCTTGCAAATGGCTATTTTTATTAATTTCTCATACCAAATTATCGAGAATAAAAAATCAAAATTATATATATATATATATATATATATATATATAGACTTGGGATCATGTGAGACCAGCCTGTTTTCGTGAGACCCGTGAGACCAGCATTTAACACTTGAAACTTCACAGCAAAATGCTGTGAAGGTAACTTTTTAAAACCTTCACAGTGTTTTTGCTGTGAAGGTTTGACTTTTTTTAAACCTTCACAGTGTTTTTGCTGTGAAGTTTACGTGTAAAAATGTGGTCTCACGGGTCTCACGAAAATAGGCTGGTCTCACGTGAACCCAACCCTATATATATATAGACTTGAGATCATGTGAGACCAATGTTTTTTCGTGAGACCCGTAAGACCAATTCTCAWCCCTTGGATTAGATTTACAATCGTCAGATCTGAACATTTACAAACGCCACGAGACTTCTCAATAATTACAAAATTGCCACCTTGCAAATTTAGAACATTAGATCATTAGTTTATAAATTTGATCAATGAACATAAATTGGTCTTACGGGTCTCACGAAAAACCCTTGGTCTCACGGGAACCCAACTATATATATATATACCAATTTATGTTCATTGATCAAATTTATAAACTAATGATCTAATGTTCTAAATTTGCAAGGTGGCAATTTTGTAATTATTGAGAAGTCTCGTAGCGTTTATGAATATTCAGATTGTAAATCTAATCCAAAGGTTGAGAATTGGTCTTACGGGTCTCACGAAAAACCTTTGGTCTCACATGATCCCAAGTCTATATATATAGGGAAGGGTTCAAACGAGAACCACTGTGATTTATGAGAACGCAAAAACAACTCAATAACCTCATATTGTGATAAAAAATAAAATTAAAAGATTTTTAAAATTAAAATTTAAATTTAAAAAAATTCAAAAAAATTTAAAATTAAAAGGGTAATAATGGAAATGATATCATCAAATCTTTTAAACACGATCATTATCTTTTAAACACGATCATTATCTTTTAAACACTCATTATTATCATTATCTAGTAAAACGGTTACGAAATAGGTTAGGATTATACTAGGTATGATAATCATGTGATAATCATGTGATAGGGGTGTGATAATCACCATTATACATCACTTGGGTTATCGTTTTGGTTAATAAGTTAAAATTTTGGTGTCATCATGTGATTTGGGTGTGATAATCATGTGATAAGGGTGTGATAATCACTGTTATACATCACTTGAGTTATCGTTTTGGTTGACAAGTTAAAATTTTGGTGTAATCATATAATATGTGTGTGATAATCATAAGATATGAGTGTGATACTTATGTGATAGAGGTGTGATATGAAAAAAAGATGTTAACGAGAAGAAGAAGAAGATAACTACCAAGAGTAAAACGTGGAACGTGAAAAGATAATTATGGTTAATTAAAATAAAATAAAAATTATAAAAATTACTTAATTACATTATTGTCCTTATTAAATTATTTATATATAATAAAAATTAATTTATTAATTAAAAAAGTTTGAGGTTATTGGGTTGTTTTCGCATTCTCGTAAATCACAGGGGTTCTCGTTTGAACCTCCACCTATATATATATATATATATATATATAAAAGGAAGTACATTCAACTCAATAAATTCTCTGTTTTAAATATTATACAGTGTTTTAAAAGGTTTGTCACGTCTGCCGTCGTGATGCTTCACGTCATTTTAAGTGTGTAGCATGTCATGACCTAATTTCACGGTTTTTTATAATGTGGTATATAAGTATTCTTATTTTGTTAGTATCGTATTTTTTTCAGTTTTTAGTGTATAATCTGATTTAAATTAATATATATTATTGATTAATTAAGTACTAGTAAATACAACAAATGTGTATACGTATTATACAGATTTACCATCACAAAAACATTTTGAAAAACATTGCGACTTGCTCATGACTTCTAAGCTTAAGGATTGACTTTGCAGTAATGTTCTACGATACACTAAGAGACCGTTTACTAAACGCTTACCTGGTAAGTGCTTATTAGGTAATTTTCTTTATCAGATGAACATAACAAGGGTCAAAAATTTTACCAAGTAAAAACAATAATAAAGATAAAGGGTCTTACTCGGTAAGTGAGAGTGAAGACTCTTACCCGGGTAAGTGTTTACCGAGTAAATTGTTGCATACGATACCATTTTGATATACTACAATCTTACCCGCTAAAATAAATTACAGTGTTGACTCCTAACCATAAGCGTTTAACGGATAAGCATTTAAGTAAACGTCCCCTAAAAATCATTAAAATCCTTATTTTTATTTTCATTTTTTTTTTGTTAACCGGTAAGTGAAGGCGACGACTCTTTCCACAGTAAGATCTTATCGGGTAGATTATTGCATATGGTGTTGTTTTCGTGGAGTAAAATCTTACCCGGTAAGTAAGTAATAGTATTGAATTTTACCAGTAAGCACTTATCGTGTAAGTTTTTGGTAAACGGCTCTAAGACTCTCTCTTAATTAACCTATTTAACAAAAAAAAAATTACTTTATCATTAAAAATAAAATAAGTTATTATCGTAAGATTTAAATATGTATCATTGTAAATCTGATAAAAAAAATTGAGTTACACAAATTATATGTAACATCCCCTACCAACCATATCAGATATTTTCCTCTTTCTCCATATATAAGGACTCACGATTTTAAAATGCATCTGTTAGAGTAGTATGCATTTTTTATAAGACATTATTTGTTCTCATTTCCAGCCGATATAGGATCTCACAATGCACATCCTAGGAAGCATAACGTCCTCGTTGGCACACTAGTCCAGTTCTCAAATTTGATATAATTTGTAAATTCCCTGACCAACCATACCAGTTTTGGGAAACCATGGACGATTTTTTAATCTGCTTTATATTATAATCTATTGATTATTTATAAATTATAAAACAAAAGAAACGTGTCAACCTGTTCCACTCTGACCTGTTTTTAGCCATTTTAAAATTTTACTTGTTAATATGATAAGATAAAAGAATAAATATATATGAGAGGAAATAGAGTGGGTAGCAGGAATCATTGACCATTGCATTTCACAGCTTATCCATCTCATCTGGTTTGTCAGATTTGATATATTTACATATCTGGGTAAAACACGTGTTATCCGTAATACAGTCCATCATTGCTTATGTAGTATAACTAAATAATATCAAGTTACAATTAAGTCACATCCATATCACATGAGTCGTTCTCAAAACCGGATAAGGGTCAAGACGTTGGTGCTGATGGCTGAGTCAAGTGCCTCTCTGAACAATATAAAGAGTTTTTAGCGTAAAATTAACATGTTTTTCGACATCCTTGTCATCTTGTTCTTTAAATATAATTTTTCCATCGTGATCGTTATTCATTTGGTTCTATCAAAGTGAAGTTTCTTGAAAACCAGTTTTTTTTATCTTATTCATTTAATCGATCAAAGTCTTAAAAAAGCTTCCATGTGAAGGAAATTTCCCCTCTAATTGTGTTTGTAGGTTGGTTCTTTGATTATTAGAAAAAGGTTTATTTGCCAGGTAGGAGGATGGCAGGTTACAAACTCTGTCTCGGTTCAACAACGTAAGGTAACTCTGCTTTTTCAGGGTAACAAGAACTTGTCGTTGTCTCGGCTGTGCTACTGGAGGATCTGGGGAAGTTAGAATCTTCATCCATAAGGATACTAGATTACCCTAACCACAAGGGTGGTGCCTGATTGGTTTGAGCTTGGCTCCAAAGGTCAAAAGTAGCAGGAGGTCCCAGGTTCAAATCTAATGAGAAATAAAAATCCCCTTGTGGCCACGGAGGTTCAAATGAGGTGACTCCGAGCTATCTGCAAAACAGGTGGTCGCCCTGAGATTAGTCGGCTCGCATGGTGGGTTGGATATCCAGG